GGGCAGGGCTCCCAGTGACAGAGCTTGGGTGAGGGAGAGGACCAGGGCTCTCCCACATCACAAGTCAGGGGGATGAGGGGGACCCAACACCCACACTGAGAAGGGCTGGCAAGTGAAGAGGGTGGCACCTGGAAGCCAAGGGGAGTGGGTTACAGAGAGAGGGATCCATTGTGCAGCGAGCAGAGACCACAGGATTTAGCACCAGAGAGGCCACGAGTGGAGTGAATGGAGGGGGGTCAGATCAGACTGGCAGGGCTTGTGCTGGGGAAGAGCCTGTATTGAGGGTACTTTCAAGTGGCTTTGCTGCAGAGGGGCAGGCAGCACGTGGGAGGGTCAGTGCAGGGCTTCCCAGCCCAGCACTACTGCTGTTTTGGACCAGTTCTTTCTTTGGGGATGGGCCGTCCTGTGCATGTAGGATGCTGAGCACCTTCCCTGGGCTCCTCCAGTAGATGCCAGGAGCACCTGCCCCTCCAGTCGCCACCTGACAACCAGAACAGTCTTCAGGCATGGCTAGGTGTCCCCTGGGGTGGGAATGCAGTGTGTGTTGGGGGGCGGGGGCGACTTGATTGCTCAGGTTGAGAACCACTGGTGCAGTGGTTGGAATCTGGGAACATTCTCTTCTGATCACTTTTTTCTCAGTGACAAGACCAATGGCAGGGTCACCTGCTAAGTGCAGGAGAGGAAAGGAGAGAGCTTTGAGGAGGAAGAAATATGCAAGTATCCCACGGGGGAGTGAATGGACCAGAGAAATGCAGTGTGAGCAGTGCAGGGCCATGGGGAGGGAGTTTTGAGACTCGTGGTGTGAATGCAAAGCGGGACCGAGGCCCAGTGGTGGCCAGTGGCATTCATCATGAGGGATACAGGGAAGTGGGGTAGGGATGGGGGAGGAGTGGGTGGGGCTGGCAGGGTCAGTGGATGGGGGATCGCGTGGAGCCTAAGGATTTCAGATTCCGGTCCCTGGAGGCAGTGGTGGGCAGACTGGCTGCTGGTGGAGTGGGGGATCTTTCAGGGGCTGTAGTCATAGTGACAGGGTTCAGAGTGTGGTGATGGGAGCCGGTGCACAGGGAGGGCAGAGGATGAGGTGTTTAGAGGGAGAGGGGTCGGAGGTGGGAAGCCAGGGTGGACCCTGGCCTTCCTCAGGGACGCTGCCTATCTGTAGAAGTGAGCATAGTCCCGAAGGCAGTGCGTGGCCTCCTAAAGACGGCACCCAGCCGCCTAAGGCCTGTCAGCCTCCCAGAGAAGAAGCTGGCGTCCTAAGTTGGAGACAGACCCATCCCGCTTTGCCAGAAGTGTCTGTTTCACCACCTAAAACCTTGCATAGCGGCCGACCAGGACCACTGGAGTCCCTAATCCTAAAAAAGATTTCCCGGCAACAGGGGTGGGCTGGGGAGGCGGCCCCTGCCTCTTAAAAGGAGGCTTGTGGGCCGTGGTTGCGATGGTTGGGTGTGGGTAGAGGTGGGGTGATGGCCACCCTCCCCTGACCCAGAATCCCCCGCCAGGTGTGATGGTCGGCTCCCACGCGGACATGGCGCCCGCCTCTAGCGCCGAGGGGTCAGCGGAGAAGCCAGGCCCCACAGCCCCCACCCCTGCAGCCCAGTACGAGTGTGGGGAGTGTGGCAAGTCGTTCCGGTGGTCCTCCCGGCTCCTGCACCACCAACGCACGCACACGGGTGAGCGGCCCTACAAGTGCCCCGACTGCCCCAAGGCCTTCAAGGGCTCCTCTGCCCTGCTCTACCACCAGCGGGGCCACACGGGCGAGCGGCCCTACCAGTGCCCCGACTGCCCCAAGGCCTTCAAGCGCTCCTCGTTGCTGCAGATCCACCGCAGCGTGCACACGGGCCTGCGGGCCTTCACCTGCGGCCAGTGCGGCCTGGCCTTCAAGTGGTCGTCGCACTACCAGTACCACTTGCGGCAGCACACGGGCGAGCGGCCCTACCCGTGCCCAGACTGCCCCAAGGCCTTTAAGAACTCGTCCAGCCTGCGGCGCCACCGGCACGTGCACACGGGCGAGCGGCCCTACACCTGCGGCGTCTGCGGCAAGAGCTTCACGCAGAGCACCAACCTGCGGCAGCACCAGCGCGTGCACACCGGCGAGCGGCCCTTCCGCTGCCCGCTCTGCCCCAAGACCTTCACGCACTCCTCCAACCTGCTGCTGCACCAGCGCACCCACGGCGCCGCCTCCGCACCGCCGCCGCGAGAGCCCGCCGCGAAAGTCTTGGTCTCGGACGCATACCTACAGCGCCACCTCCAGGCCCCCAGCCCGCCCGCGCCCCCGCCGCCTGCGCCCCCGCCGGTGGTACCGGAGCTCTTCCTGGCGGCGGCCGAGACCACCGTGGAGCTGGTGTACCGCTGCGACGGCTGCGAGCTTGGCTTCGGCAGCGAGGAGCTGCTATTGGAGCACCAGCCCTGCCCCAGGCCCGAAGCGGCGCCCGCCCCCCAGGACGCACCCGCCCAGGCGCCCCAGGCTGAGCCTGCCCCGCCGCCTGCGCTGTCCCCACCATGCCCCCTGCCGCAGCCCCCTCCTGCCGCCGCCACCGCCGCGGGCCCCGGCTTTGCCTGCCTCCCCTGCGGAAAGTCCTTCCGGACAGTGGCCGGTCTCTCCCGCCACCAGCACAGCCACGGGGCGGCAGGTGGGCAGGCATACCGCTGCGGCAGCTGTGATGGCGCCTTCCCGCAGCTGGCCAGCCTCCTGGCGCACCAGCAGTGCCACGTGGAAGAGGCAGCGGCCGGGCGCCCACCCCCCCAGGCCGAGGCCGCCGAGGTCACCTGCCCCCAGGAGCCGCTGGCCCCCGCCGCCCCTGCCGCGCCAACGCCCACACCAGCGCCGGCCTCTGCAGAGCGACCCTACAAATGCGCTGAGTGCGGCAAGGCCTTCAAGGGCTCCTCGGGGCTGCGCTATCACCTGCGGGACCATACTGGCGAGCGGCCCTACCAGTGTGGCGAGTGCGGCAAGGCCTTCAAACGCTCGTCCCTGCTGGCCATCCATCAGCGTGTGCACACGGGCCTGCGGGCCTTCACCTGCGGCCAGTGCGGCCTGACCTTCAAATGGTCATCACACTACCAGTACCACCTGCGATTGCACTCCGGTGAGCGGCCCTATGCCTGCGGGGAGTGCGGCAAGGCCTTCCGTAACACGTCGTGCCTGCGGCGCCACCGGCACGTGCACACTGGCGAGCGTCCCCACGCCTGCGGCGTCTGTGGCAAGAGTTTTGCGCAGACCTCCAACCTGCGGCAGCACCAGCGTGTGCACACCGGCGAGCGGCCCTTCCGCTGCCCGCTCTGTCCCAAGACCTTCACGCACTCCTCCAACCTGCTGCTGCACCAGCGCACCCACTCGGCGGAACGCCCCTTTGCCTGCCCTATCTGCGGCCGTAGCTTCGTCATGGCTGCTTACCTGCAGCGGCACCTGAGGACGCACGCCTCGGCCAGCTCGGCTGCCAGCTCCAGGGCTCCTGCCGCCGGCCCCCAGCCCCCGGCCCCGCTGGCTGCTGCCCCGGCTCCTCCTGCCACCCAAGATGTCCACGTCCTCCCCCACCTCCAGGCCACACTCTCCCTGGAGGTGGCAGGGGGCCCGGCCCAGGTTCCACCCCCAGGCCTCGGGGTCCCCAACTCCCAGACGTTTCTCCTGGTGCAGACTGCCCAGGGCCTCCAGCTCATCCCCAGCAGCGTCCAACCCCCTACGCCCCCACCTCCGCCGGCTCCCGCCAAGCTCATCCTGCTGCCCCCTTCCGGTACTAGTGGCGGGGGCAGCTGTGCAAGGCAGGGCCCACGGGCTGTGGGGAAAGCAGCGCAGGGGTCTGGCGTAGTCTGGTTGCCAGGCCCTGCAGGGCTGGGAGTGCAGGGGGGCGCCAACGCCGGGGCCAGTGCGGGAGCGCAGAGCCTCATAGTTCTGCAGAATGTGGGTGGTGGGGAGGCAGGGTCACAGGAATTGAGTGGGGTCCAGCTCCAGCCCCTCCGGCCAGTACCGGAAGTGACCGCCGTCCAGCTCCAGCCGGCCCAGGAGGTGACCACGGTGCAGCTGCAGCCAGTGGCAAGCCAGCTGTCCAATGCCGGTGGGGGAGCTGTGACCGCTGAGGCTCCTAACCTATTGGTGGTTCAGAGTGGGGCAGCTGAGGAGTTGCTGGCCGGCCCGGGTACCGGGGAGCCCAGTGATGGTGAGGCCAGCACCGGTGTGGTCCAGGACGTGCTCTTTGAGACACTGCAGACGGATGAGGGGTTGCAGAGCGTCCTGGTGCTGAGTGGGGCCGATGGGGAGCAGACCCAGTTGTGTGTGCAGGAGGTTGAGACTCTCCCCACGGGGCTGGCCGAGCCACCGGCCCCAGGCCCGCAGGGACAGAAACTACTTATCATCCGCAGTGCCCCGGCCGCAGAGTTGTTGGAGAACAGCAGCGTTGGGGGAGGTGCCACCACGCTGCAGCTGCTGGCCCCACCGCCACCAGCTTCTGTCTCTGCAGGCATCCCCTCAGCTCCCACTTCCCAGATGGTGCAAGTGGTCCCCGCAGGAGCCGCGCCTGGGAGCATGACCCCGCAGGGCCTGCCCTCCATCCAGATTGTCCAGACTCTGCCGGCCGTCCAGCTTGTGCACACGTTTTGAGTAGCAGCGCTGATACCTCTTCCTGTCCCACCCAGACCCCGATTCACTGCTGTGGCGGTGCTGGGGGAGGTGAGCTGCAGGCCGCTCTTGCTAATAAAGACCAGAAGCTCTTTTTCTGTGTTTTGTTTTCTTGGGGTGGGGGCTGCGGAGGGGCAATGTCATGGTCATCACCACTGCTTGGGAGGCTGGAGTCTTGCTTTCTGGCGCCCCGGTGACTTGGTTTGCGTCTTTGGGCCAACCACTTATATGTGGGACACTGTCCCTAAAGGAAGGGAAGCAGGGGTTACCCTAGTGGCGAGTTGCTGAAATCTAGAATCCCGGCTCCGCCACTTGTTCACTGTAAGTCACCCCGCCCCTCCCCTCGTCTGGAAAATGCTTATCCTGAAAGTCACGGGTTGACGGGTGGGTTGGGGTGGAGGTCGGTGCGGTGGGGGAGTTTGGGAGCTAGTGGGCCCAGGATGCTGACGCGGCCCTCTCGCGAAACCCGGCGCCAATGGGAATTGCTGGGCTTCCCTCACCGCCCCGCGGGCGCTCAGGTTGCTTAGCAACCAGGGAGAGTGCAGGCTGGCGCTTCCCCCGGCGGCCAGGTAAGTCCTCCCTCGCCCGGCCGTCGTCTGCTCGCGTTCTGCACCCCACCCGGAAGGGTCCCCGCCGGCCCGGGTCCCTCCATCGCCCACGCCCAGCCCCTCCCCCACCCGCGCCAGGAAGCCTGGCAACAGCAGCTAAGGCCGAAGGCAGGTCCCGCCCCCTCCGCACGCGAGTCTACGTCACTTCCGCCGGCGACCCCTCCGCGACCCTGCTGCTCCCACTCCTAGTCCCAGGACCGAGGCACCCGCGGAGGTGCATGCAGCTCCTCGCTGGGGCGGGACGACCGGGGCGGGGCTGGTGGTGCCGGGCCAGGGCCAGGAGCTGGTCCCCTGGCCGCGGGGCAGCTTGGTCGACCCCCAGGGCTTCTGGGAGGGACCCCCTAGGGCATGGTGTCGGCGTCCACGGACGCGCGGGGGCCTCCCGGGAGGCGGGAAAGCTGGCTACGTAGAGGGACTGCCTCGGACCGCGCTTGGAGGCCCGGAGCGCCCTCAGGGTCCTTATCTGAGACATGCTGCAGCTGGCCCCCACGCCTGGGCGCTTCGGGCACGAGGGGCGCCCTCCTGACGGTGACCTCCTTTTCGCCAGGTACAGGCCTGCTCCTCGGGGGCGTGGGAGCCCGGGGGCTGCCATGGCCCCCGGCCACCTGTCGGTGCGGGAGATGCGGGAAGATGAGAAACCCCTGGTGCTGGAGATGCTGAAGGTGAGAAGCAGGGAGGGGCCGCAGTGCGTCTGGGGGTGCAGGGGCTTGTCGAGGGCTCAGCCACCTGCCTTTTCCTCCTGAGCGACTTACTCCTGGCTTGGTGCCTTCTCTCCCTAGTGCTTCCCTCCTACCCCTGGGGTCAGGAAGGTTGCAGCAGCTGGAGGACTGTGGGCCGAACGCATCACCAATTCTCTGCCTGTCTCCCCACTTCAGCCTGCCCTGCGCCAGCCCACCTGAGAGCTGACCTTGCCTGCTACCCCAAGCCCTTGCAAGCAGAGTCCTGGGGCGGGGGGGCAGCCCCAGCTCCTGTGGTCCAGAGGCGCCCCCACTGTGGCCTGCAGCAGTCTCTGTCCTGTTCTGGCCTCCGCCATCCTTGGTGCCTCGTTCCTGTGCACCTCCCCTCAGAACTGAGTGACTGCACAGCAGGCTCAGGGTGCCTAGAGCAGATGCAGTGCCTGCCCCTGCACCCGCCCCCCCCGCCCCGTCTCCAGCCCATCACAGTGCCTTCCTTTCTTATTTGGGAGCTCCCGCCGCAGCTGGTCTGCCCCTCTCATTGTCCCTGGTGCCCATGGGGCCCTAGTATGATGGAAGACTGAGGCTCCCCATCCTGACTGCCCATCCTGCCCACAGGCTGGTGTGAAGGACACAGAGAACCGCGTGGCCCTTCATGCACTGACGCGGCCGCCGGCCCTGCTTCTCCTGGCAGCAGTCAGCAGTGGCCTGCGCTTCGTCCTGGCCTCCTTCGCCCTGGCCCTCCTCCTGCCTGTGTTCCTGGCTGTGGCAGCCATGAAGCTAGGCCTGCGGGCCCGGTGGGGCTCGCTGCCTCCCCCGGGAGGCCTGGGGGGCCCCTGGGTGGCAGTACAAGGCCCCGGGGATGTGTGCGGGGTCCTGGCCTTGGCCCCAGGCTCCAGTGCTGGGGACGGAGCCCGAGTGTCCCGCCTCTCTGTTTCTCGCTGGCACCGCCGCAGAGGCGTGGGCAGGCGGCTGCTGGCTTTTGCTGAATCCCAGGCACAAGCTTGGGCAGGAGGCATGGGGGAGCCCCATGTGAGGCTGGTGGTCCCTGTGTCTGTGGCCTCTTGGGGCATGGCAGGGATGCTGGAAGGCTGTGGCTACCAGGCTGTGGGGAGCTGGGGCTGCATGGGCTGTGCACTGGTGAGGGAGTTCAGCAAGGACCTGTGACCCCAGACCCAGGGTGGGGAGGGAAACCCACGCTTAGCGAGCACCTACTGTGTGCAGGCGCCTTCACAGCCTCCCTCCGAGAACCCCTGGCCCACTTAGGGCCCAGAAACCTAGACCCGCAGAGGGCAGGAGGCCCCACTGCAGCCTGATGCCTGTCCATATTGTTTGAACTTTTCAGAGAGGTCAGTCTGTCCAAACCCCTCCCTCAGATTCTGTCTGCACTGAGAAATCTCACTGGCCCATCTGTGCTTCGGATCTGGGAGAGATGCAGGGAGAGGAGAGGAGGCCGGGCAAGCATGCCCACCCCCAGCTTAGGTCCCCAAAATGGGGACAAGCGCCCCCCACAGCCATGGGGTGGTGAGGAGGGCATGGGCACAGAGCTGCCCAGGCCAGACCAGGGAAGGTGCCCCCAGAGGTTCTGTGGCCAGACCCATCTGATTTTTTACTCATGATTGTTAATAAAGCCTGAAACTGCTGTGTGCCAACTCCCTCTCTCTGATGTCTTTTCCAGTCTTGAAACCACCCCCCCACCCCATCTGGCTTCTTCCCTGAGTTGACATTAATTGGTGGGGGTGCTGGACCAGGAGAAGGGGAGCGATGAGCTCATGCATTTCCACTCCTTGCCAGCTCTCTGACTCACGGTCCCCATTACAGAATTTTTTCCTCCTCACAGCTGTCTGGTGCAGGGTGAGTGTGAGTGTGCAAGTGTGTGTGTGGGTGGGGTGGGGGAAGAGACTCCTCTCCCCCCAAAATCTCGACCCTTGGTCCTTCTGTCCCCCACCCCAGTTCACCATGGGGACATGGAAATTCACCCTCCCTCAGCTGGGGGCCTGGTGACTACATTCGGCCCCACCAGGGGAGCTGGGGGAATGTGTCTCCTTTCCCAATCCGGGAAGTCCTTCCTGGTATCTGGCTGCAAGCCCTCTTGCTGCTGAATGGGAGCCCCAGTTGTGCCGGGTCCCTAACCCTGGCGGCTGATTTGAATCCACCCTGGGGCCCCCCTCCCTGGTTAACGAGAGGAGGCAGGTGGGTGGCACCCCACTCTTGCATCCTCCCCCCTCACCCACCCGTCTGGTCCCTCCCCTGCAGCCTGCTGTCCCCCTGTGCGTCTCTAAGCACGGGCGTGCCTGGCCGCCCTGTGTGGGTGTTTGCAGTTAGACACCCTCCCTCCTGCCCACCACTCCCCGCTTCCCCAGGCCTCAGCCGCTGGCCAGCCCCCTCCCCGCCCCCCTCCGGTCCCTTGCTGCCTCCTGGGCAGGCAGCCTCTCTTCCTCCTGGCAAAGCGTCCAGCTCCTGCCTGCCCCTCCCTGGGTCCAGGGCGCCTCCGGCAGGCGCTTCCCTCGCGCCCGCCCTCCAGTGGTGCGGTGGCCTCGAACACCTCCTCCCCTCTCCTGCTTGCGTCCCCTTTCGCCCAGTCCCTGCCCTGGAATCTGCAAACATGAGGGGCTTGGCCTGCCTCCTTGGTGAGTGACCCCTTCTCCTTGGGGACTCGGGCCCCACCCTCTGACCCTGAGCTAGTCCACTTGAACCACTGAGACTTCCTTGGTGCCTGGAGAACAGGACATCTGGGTCTCCCTGCTTGACCCCCCAGGGACCCAGCCTTCTGCACCCCAGTGCAACCCATAGCAGCCCCCAGAGACCTACCTGCTCCTCACCCCAGCCCTGACTCTCTGTGTCAGGCCACACACCATTCGCTGTTTAACCAGACGTCTGGGGGAGCACAGGGTCTGGCCCCCAGCCCTGACCTGAGACGTCTTGGGGCCCCGCCCGCCTATGTCAGGGACCTCAGTCTTGCCTGGCCCTTGGCCTAGAGTCCTGCTTCCCAGAGGTGGGGTTTCTGGCTCAGAGGTGTGAGGAGTGAGTGAGTGAGTGAGTGAGTGAGTGAGTGAGTGAGTGAGTGAGTGAGTGAGTGAGTGTGTGTGTGTGTGTGTGTGTGTGTGTGTGTGTGTGTGTGTGTGTGTGTGTGTGTATTGGGGATCCAAGACAAGGAGGAGTGTGTGTATGTCAGGGATCCAAGACAAGGGGCCTGTGCTGGAGAAGGGACTTGCTCGGGCCACCTCTCACTGTGTCCCATCCCACAACCTCCCTTCTAGTGGCTCTGATGGGGATCCAGGCTGTTGGTAAGTAGCCCCAAACACTCCTCTGTGGCCTTGTCCAGCTCAAACCCACCCGATGCCTGGCCTCACCCTCCCCTGGGACCCTGGCCACCACCCCATCTGTCTGTGACCTCGGGCACTGCTCTGTCCGGGACCACCGAGCAGGCAGCCCCCTGCTTCCTGCGGGGTTCGTGTCAGCGCCCAGGGGCCAGGGTCCCCAGCAGCATTCATGATGGCCGGCCGGCCGGCCACGCCCCATGGGGCAGACCCCAGCCTGTCCCTCCCCCAACTCCAGGGGCTTGGAGTATCAGAGTCTTTCCTCCGTGCCCGCAGAACGGCTGCGTCTGACTGACGGCCCCCACGGGTGTGCCGGCCGGCTGGAGGTGTGGCACGGCGGGCGCTGGGGCACCGTGTGCGACGACGGCTGGGACCTGCGGGACGCGGCCGTGGCCTGCCGGGAGCTGGGCTGCGGGGGCGCGCTGGCCGCGCCTGGGGGCGCCTTCTTCGGGGAGGGGGTGGGGCCTGTGTGGCTGACCGAGCTGGCCTGCCGGGGCGGCGAGGGGCGGCTGAACCTCTGCCCCCACCGCGGCTGGAAGGCTCACATCTGCTCCCACGAGGAGGACGCTGGCGTCGTGTGCGCAGGTGAGGGGCCTCCTACCCTCCCGGGAGGCCTCCCTCACAGACGACCCAGGGACCCCCATCCTCAGCCCAGCAACTCTGGGGGCCTAGACGTCCAGACACCCTGATACCCCTCCAAAACCAAGTTTTCCTCTGCACCCGGGGGTCCCAGCGCTGGCCTCTCGGGCCCCCCAGCTTCTGTGTTGTCCCACAGCTCAGCGTGTGGCCGGTTCCAGGGACAGGGAACCCCCTTCAGTCCTGGATGGGGACCCCTGGCCGGGGCTCACTGGGGAGCTGAGTGCCAGCTCTGAGGAGCCCCCAGCCATGCACGGTGAGCCCCTTCGCTCCCTCCTTCCGCTGTCGCGGGGGTGGGGGGCCGTCCACACTCCTAGGAGACGGACAGGTTCCCCACCCATCTCGCTCTCCACCCGGAGGCCCTGTCATGCTGCTCAGACCCTCAGGGGCCCTCAGGAGCTGTGGCTCGGCTGTCCAGGTGGGAGGAGGACCGAGCAGCCCTCACCCCCTCTGCTGCCTTCTCTCCCAGCCACTCGCCCCCAGAATGGCTCCCGGAAGAAGAGCCCCCGGCCGCCCAAGCAGCCAAAGTCCACCCGGGGCCCCATACTAACAGCTGGAGCCGCCCGCCAGGGTAAGTCCCCTGTGGGCCCCTCTGCAAGTCTGGATGGGGTGGGACCCTAGGCTGGCCCGGACCAAACTGGGGACCCCCAGGTGCCCTCCTTTTAACTTTTGGCCATGGCTTGGCTCCAGTGTGGCTGCATTCTTGGGGGCTCAGTTAGCCCCCCGTCTCCCTGCCCCACCCCAAGTCAGGAGGCCCGGGACCCACGCTGCCCGCCCCTCAGATCCTGGCTCTCCCCTTAACGGACCAGCTCACAAGCAGACCTAAGACCGCTGTCCCGGGCCTCAGTTTACCCAGATGGACACGGGGGTGTTTAAATTGCTTACCCCACGTTGCCTCACTCAAGGCGTTCATCGTCCCCCCAGAGCGGCTACGCCTGGTCTCGGGCCCCCACGGCTGCGCAGGCCGGCTGGAGGTGTGGCACGGCGGGCGCTGGGGCACCGTGTGTGACGATGGCTGGGACCTGCGGGATGCGGCCGTGGCCTGCCGGGAGCTGGGCTGTGGGGGTGCGCTGGCTGCCCCCGGAGGGGCCAGATTTGGGCCAGGCTCGGGGCCTGTGTGGATGGATGACGTGGGGTGTGGCGGCGGAGAGCAAGCCCTGCGGGACTGTCCCCGAAGTCCCTGGGGCCGGAGCAACTGTGACCACAGTGAGGATGCCGGGCTGGTTTGCACAGGTAGGTTCCCACCCCCAGGAGCTGTGCAGGGCTCGGCTGGTCCGTGAGCCTCTCAGGCCACCGCCTCCTTCCGCCCAAGAGGCGCAGAGCGCAGCTGCCCCAGGGTGGGTGGGCGCTGTGGCTGCAGGGCGGTGGCTGTGGGGCTGCGGGTGAAGTGGGAGCCTACGGGGTCTCCGGGGGGCAGAGTCGCCCAGGCAGGGGCGGGAGAACCTGAAGTCAGTGCCCAGGGGAAGAGAAGCTGGTCCCCCAGTCCCTCCCAGGGCGCAGTGGGCAGAGACCCGCAGAACAGGTGGGGCGGGAGCGGCCCTCTGTGTGCCTGGGTGGGAAGCACACGGGGGCACAAGGGGGCCTCTGGAGCCCCACTCAGGAGAGGTGAGTGGAGACTCCGGGGAGGGCCCTGCTGCTGGGGAGGCTTGAGGCCTGTGGTAAGCCCTGTTGAGGTGAGGGCCTGGCGCCTGGACCTCCTAGCTGCCAGCAGCGCCCGGAAGGGCGCTTCTCCTCCTGGGGGCCTGTCCGCCTGGCAGTGGTGTGTTCTCTCCTGGAGTGCTGACTGGGACCCCCACCTTGGGGTAGAGATAGACCCCACGTCCCCGACGGTGACACCCTTACCCCAGACAGACTCGACACAAACGTGTCCCCAGCCAGCAGGAGGCTGACATCTGGGTTGGTGGTTCTCACCTGGGGGCAGCTCTCCCTCCAGCCCCCAGGGACGTCGGGCTGAGTCTGTAGACGGTTTTGTGGGTCCCGTTCTGTGGGTGCTGCTTGCATCTGGAAGGGGGGCCCAGGGGTGCTTCAGGCCATCCCACTGCACGCAGGATGGCCCCCACCCCGGAGAATGGCCTGTCCCCTGCTGTCTGGCCCTGGGACAGTGGCTGGGGAGCCAGGCTGGAGAGGTGGCAGCGGATGGCAGGGCTGCTGTCCCCTGCGCTGGCCGTGGGGAGGCAGAGCCATGGGCTGCCGGGCTCTGGGTGAGGGACTTCCTATCTCAGAGCCTTTTTCTCAGTTGCAAACAAGATGGTTTTCCACCACCACCCACCCCACAACCAGCCAGTGCCCTGCCCGCCCTGGGCTCCTGCTCACGGCCCACACCTGCTTACCCACCAGTCCCCATCTCTCTGGTCTCCCCTCTCCCCATGTGCAGGCCTGGCCCCCCGGCTGCGCCTGGCTGATGGCCCCCACGGGTGTGCCGGCCGGCTGGAGGTGTGGCACGGCGGGCGCTGGGGCTCCGTGTGTGACGATGGCTGGGACCTGCGGGATGCGACCGTGGCCTGCCGGGAGCTGGGCTGTGGGGGCGCACTGGCTGCCCCTGGGGGCGCCTTCTTTGGGGAGGGGGCCGGACCCATCCTCCTGGATGACCTTCGCTGTCGGGGAAACGAGACCACCTTGCGATTCTGCCCCTCACGGCACTGGGGCCAGCACGACTGTCACCACCGGGAGGACGCTGGTGCTGTGTGTGACGGTGAGGGGCTGCGGCAGGTGTGCAGGTGGGGGGGTCCTGTGTGGCTTCCTGATGCATACCCCACACGCCTGCCCTCCCTCCATCCCCTCTGCCCCCTTGCCTGACCAGCCCCCCATCCCTGAAACCTTGGCCTGCGTTGGGGCCCTGGGACGGAGGATGTGGGGTCCTGACTGCCTCTTTCCCTTCCCCAGGCATGCCCCTCGGGTATGTCCCTCCCACGGCCCCAGCGGTGGACAGTGACAGCTCCCTGCCCAGGGAGGCATCATCCCAGGCCGCGGCCCCCACGGCAAGCCCGACCCCGCAGACCGCAGACGGCTCACTTCCCCCCACCTCCCCTGTGGCCCCTCGGGAGCTGGGACCAGAAGTGGGTGAGTGTGCTCTGCTCCCCAAGGAAGCAGGCTCCAACTGCTGTTCCCTGTCCCCAGCCAGCCCCCAGGGCCCTTGCTCCCTGCCCACACTGTCTCTTTGGGGACAGGGAGAAGGATGGCATTGGGGAGCTCAGAGCCGGCACCTGGCAGGGCCTGTGCTGGTTCAAGCTTGGCCGACTTGAGACTCATAACGGTTCTTGAAGGCTGACTCCTCCTCACATATACTGAAGGGACCGGACCCACGATGGCTGTCGTTTTAGAAAACAGGCTTTGTTATCATTCAGTGAGGGGAGGCCAGCAGGCCAGGGGATGGTGGCCCTTGATTTGTCACAGTTCCCGAGAGGAGGGGTGCACCTCACCTCTCAGGGCCCCTGGGGCAGCCCAGGGTCAGTCTGGAGGCAGAGGGAGGGGAAATGTGGGCCGGGGCCTGGACTGTGGGGTCCCTGGGAAGGACGGGCAAGGTGGGGCAAGCAGGCTGAGGGTCACTGGTTTGAACCATCTCAGCAGGCTCTGGGGTGAGGGGGCTGCTTCTGGGCGTCCGGCACCCACCCTGGGCTGGTGAGGGCCGTGTGAGGGGCCCACGGAGGAAGTGTGTGTGAGCTCTGCTTTGGCTGGCTTGCTTGTCAGAGGCGTGCTCCCGGAGGCTCCTGTCCCTGGGGGTGGCTAGCCTGGGAAGGGCGGGCGCTCCAGGGTCAGCACAGCCTCAACATGTCAGAGCATCAGGAGTACAGAACACTAGTCCATGATTATTCTGCTTCCCAAAGAAATAGGGCGTGATGGCTGAAGCTGTTCCCGCAGGGCTGGCAGAGGCTGGGAAAGGTGGGAGCCTGTTCTCCGCCGGAGGCCGCTTTCCCTTTACTGGCGCAGGTGTGACAGGGCTGTGCCATGTACCGTGTCCTCAGTGGTCACACCCACAGCCCCCCCATGCCGTGGGTGGTCAGGCTCCACCCCCAGGCCCTCAGAGGCCACACCCCCAGCCACCACCCTCCCTGAGTCTGACTCGGGGACCTCGTGTCAGTGGCATTGCACGCTAGCTGTCGCTTGGGGACTGGCTTGTGTCCGTGAGCTCAATGCTGTCCCCTTCATCCGTGTGGCAGTATGGGATGTGTCAGAACCTCCATCCTTTTCAAGGCTGAATAATACTTCATCTCCCATGCAGACCTCATTTTGCGTGTCCCTTCACCCACCCATGGACAGGCAGGCTGTTTCCATCCTTTGGCCGCTGCTCTGAACACTGGTGTCCAAGGATCTGTTTGAACACCTGTTTTCACTTTATTTTGGGAATATCCCCAGGAGTGGAATTTCTGGATCATACAGTAATTCTATGTTTAGCTTTTCGAGGAACCACCAGACTGGGCCTGACCCTGTCCCCAGTGCCCGGGGTGGACAACACCTCCGCTCCAGTCCAGTCTGTGCTGGCATCCGGGATGGGAGGAGGGATGCGTTTGGGAAGCCCCAATGGCCAGATGGGTGGATGAATGGAGGAAAGGTGGGGAAGGTGGAGGAAGGCACAGGGCCAGATGGCTTCCCCAACGCTCTAATTCCCCTGGTCTCTTCCATCCCAGGGGCCCCCCAGCTGCGCCTGGTGGCCGGGCCCAGCAGGTGCTCAGGCCGGCTGGAGGTATGGCATGGCGGGCGCTGGGGGACGGTGTGTGACGACAACTGGGACTTGCGGGACTCGGCCGTGGTCTGCCGGGAGCTGGGCTGCGGGGCACCTCAGCAGCCAGACCCTGTGGCTGGCCGCTTCGGCTGGGGCGCTGGCCCTATCTGGCTGGACGACGTGGGGTGCATGGGGTCTGAGGCTTCGCTCTCCGACTGCCCTGCTGCTCCCTGGGGGAAACACAACTGTGCTCACAATGAGGACGTTGGCATCACCTGCACTGGTAAGCAGGCTCTAGCGGTCCACTGGATCTGGGAGGGCTTCCTGGAGGAGGGAGCGGGAACCAGCATCTGCATGACATCTGCTGAGCCTCTGGCTCTAAAGCCCAGCCCTGTGCTGGCTGTTGTCACACATGAGACTGAATTCACACCCCATGGTAAATCCAGGGATGTAATGCCCGTTTGACTGAAGAAGATGCTGGGCACAGAGAGGTAAGTGACTTGCCTAAGGTCACATGGCAGCTGAGTGTCAGAACTGGGATTCTTTCCCTTCCTCCTCTTCCCAAGAATCAAGAAAGCCTCCCACACAGAGGGGAGCCTTATCCTCCCCAGGAGGAAGGAAGTGGATGTAGGAATGCTGGGAGACGGAGAGAGGCCAAAGCGAGGGCCAGCCCAGTTGTGTCTGTTGTTCATGAGCCACGTTTACTGAGTGCCGGACACGGAGCAGTGCCAGGCTCACGTGGCAATGAACCTGGCCTTCCAGAGGCTCATGGCTCACGGAGAGGGGGAGACACCCCGACAGGTCGTTGCCGGCCTGTGTAACCCCATATGATTTGGGAGGTCCCCAAAACCACCCTCAGCTTCTATACTTTTATGAGAAGGACTCACAACAAATCAGAAAAGCCGTCCTACTCAGGATTATGGTTTATCGCAGTGAAAGGACACAGATTAAAATCAGCAGAGGAAAGAGGTGCAGCAACGATGTGTGATGAACCACGTGAGGCGCTGCCAGCGAGGGAGGCGTGGTCACGAGATGCGGCTGGCTGCCTCCTGGCTGTCCATAAGTCACACTGTTGCACTATCTGGGTGGTGCTGGGGGCCCCCTGGGAAACATGCCCATCAGGCAGGGTTTCCCAAGGGCTTAGAGATCAGCCCCGGGCTCTGGGGGGCAAGGTGGACCCTTCCTGCATAGGTGCTGCTCAGACACACATGAGGGCAAGCGCTGGCCCAAGGACACTCACCCATTCCGCCCAAAGCTGAGGCCTGTCCCCTTCCCCTCTCCTCCTGAGGGCCACGGGAGCCACACAGGGTTCAAGCTGGGGGGTGGCCTGTCAGACCTGGTGCCTTTCTGACAGGTGGTGAGTGCTGGACTGGGAGTAAGGGAGCACCCCCAGGAGGTGCAGGAGGAGAGGGTGCAGCCGGGGAGCTGGAGAGGACGGGTCGGGCATGGGAGGGGCGAGGGGTCCGCCTCATCATGACTCTAAGTGCCAAGGCTGCCGGATGGTGTTGGGTTTGGCTGGCAAAGGGTCCCCAGGCTCTGGCGTGCTGCTTGGGTCCGGCAGATGCTCAGTGAGTGTCTGTGCCATGAATGAATGGGACGTGATGGGGCATGCGAGAGAGGAGGGGCCTGGTTGCACGTCATTGCATCACCGCATCTGCCGTCTTCCTTGTCCTCCCCTCCCTCCCCCCAGGGACCCCCGGCCTGGACCCCATCTCAGACCCCTTCAGTTGGAGCTGGACCCCTGGCCTGGGTAGAAGTCCTGCTGCCTGGCTCCCAGGGGAGCTGGCCACCAAGCCCTCTGAAAGGCTGACCCCCGGTGTTTCCGGGAAAACCACTACCAAGGCCCCAGGGAAAACGCCCAAGACAGCCAGGAAGTGGGTGACCAAAACCGCTAAGAAGCCGGCCACTCAGTCCCCAGCGACACCCACCACCAAACACTCCAGGGGCCCAGGCACCCAGAGTCCCCTGAGACCGACCTCAAGGACCACCACAGCCCTGACCACGGAGGCCCCCCACAGGCCGACATTACACTCCACAGCAACTCGGACTCCACGGGCCCCCCGAGAACAGACCTCTAAGACTGTGGCCACCCTGACCACCCTAGGCCCCCGAGAAATGACCTCTGAGGCCACCATGAAGCAAATCCCTCTGGCCTCCACAGAGCCCTCTGAGATCCCAGCAGAAGGCTCTCCAGAGCCTGACAGTGACCTGACCCCTTCCCCCAATGGGAGCACCGCTGGGGGACCAGGTGAGTGGAGGGATGGTGAAGGGGGAGGCTGACCCCTCCTGACCCCTCCTGACCTGGAGCCTTCCACCAGCAGGCCCATTCCGGGTTCGTCTGGCTGATGGGCCCAACCGGTGTGCTGGCCGGCTGGAAGTGTGGTATGCTGGACGCTGGGGGACAGTGTGTGATGACAACTGGGACCTGCGAGATGGCACCGTGACTTGCTGGGAGCTGGGCTGTGGAAAGGTCCGGCCTCGTGTGGGAAAGACCCACTACGGCCCTGGGGCTGGGCCCATCTGGCTCGATGACGTGAACTGCAAGGGGAGTGAGGCCTCCCTGAGCGACTGCCCTGCCAGGGCGTGGGGGCAGCACAATTGTGACCACGAAGAGGATGTGGGGCTCACCTGCACAGGTACCTGGGACAGTGGGGTGGGTGCACCCAGAGCTGCTCTAGATTACAGAAGGGGCATTGGGAGCAGCCATAATGACCTCTGAGATGGGGGGGCTCCACCCTTGCCCACCTTTCCCCCAAGGCCTTGCCGATGAGGAGGATTACCCGCCCTGGACCTGGGACCCCACCTCGGGAGAGGACCTGGCCAAGGGGACCACAGCTGCAGGGATGCCTGGACACATGCTCTCCTGGGGCACCACCAAGAGCCCAGGGCCCCCCTCCCCAGCACCACGGCACCTTCCTGGCACAGGTGAGGGGCACCACGGTGGGGGGGAACCTCCATAATCCTCTGCACACCTCCTCCCTGCAGGGCTTCCCAAAAGAGCCGTCTAAACAAGCGGGCCTGGGCCTTGGAGACCCAGACAGGGTTCCCTGGGCTCCCGGGACCCCCAGAACCTTCCCTCCTTGGGCTCCAGAGCCTGGAGAATGAGACCCCTGAGCATCAGACCAGGTTCAGCAAAGCCTGAGCCCACAATCCTTCCGCCAATCGGCTGGGGCCTCCGGAATTGCGGTGAGAACAGGAGGCTGTGCCCCCTGGGCCCCACTGGCTGAGGCCCACCCTGTCACCACGGGGTCATCATCCCACCCAGGCCCCTCTACCCCTCCCTCGCAGCTCACGCCTGGCCCGGGTGGGGCTGGACCCGGAATCTCTCCCTGGCCCGTCTGTCCTGGACGGGCCCCAGGCCACCCGGCCCTTGCACCACCTGCCCTGTTCTCTCCACACCCCTCTTGGCTCCCTGTGGCCCAGCCACAAGCCTGCCTGTCGCAGTCACCTCTTCACATTCTCTCCGAAGTCCCGATGCTGCCTTTGTCGCTCTGCCCCCTTCTGCCTGTCCCCTTGCGAGGGACTCGCCCTTCTGTGCCCCCTGGGGAACCCCGCGTGCCCTTTCCCGCCTTTTTTAGCTCAGCACGCACGCGCACTCTGTGGTCCTGGGCGAGGGGCGGGGCGGAGGATGGGGCGGGCTCCGTCGGGCTCGCCTCCGGTGACGTCACATCACAGGCGCTCTGAGCCTCCCGATTGGCCGGCTGGCCCATTCCCGCAGTGGTAAAAGCCGGGAAGCCCTGCGGTCTTCGGGCAGCGGCGGGACTCAGAGCGTGTCTTCGCATCCGGAGGTGGGGCAGTAGGAGCGGGCATCGGGGGCGCCGTGATCCGGTGGAGGCCCCGGGTGTGAGGAGGCCCCGTCCATCCCAGAGGTGGTGTCCGCCGGCGTAGCCCCGGATTCCGGGGCCTTTGTTCCCCTGCCCGGCCCGATGCGCCCCCTTGTGGCGGAGACGGCCGGCGCGGTGCCGGCGGGCCGCCCCTCGGGGAGTCCCTGTCAGTGGGGGCTGTCCCGTGCACAACCTTAACCGTGGGAAGACGTGGCGGGAGGGGCGGGAATTCCTAGCCTCATTAGCAAGGTGACCTTGAGAAAAGCAGCTCTGCCTCTTGGAGCGTCAGTTTCTTCCTCTGAAAACAGCGCTCCGGGGTTCCTGGAAAGACGCGAGGTGCTCCCCCTCTGTGCTAGGCATGCGTGATTCCAGCTGGTTAATGTCCTGTTGTTACGCCCCCGTTTCAGTTGGGGGAAAAAAAATGAGGCTCAGAAGTTAAACTGCAACTCAGGAGCCGCGACTGAGATCCATTTTAAACGACTTAGCGCACATTTTGCTCACTGGATTGGGAAAGATGACTGCATTACTGAACTAACTCCAAGCGTGAGTTCTGGAATCCAGCTCCCTGGGTCCAGCTGTGGCTCCAGGGGGATTAGAGCTAGTGACCCCAGGTCCTCGTCCAGTGAGCAAAATGTTTGTGAAATCGTTTAAAACCTCAAACCATTGATTGTTGGCGTTATTTATTGTAAATGAACAACAGCTGTAGCATCCTGCCACAGAATTATTTCTAGTAGAGCAATCAGAAGAAACCTCCCAGAGGAGGTGTCCCAGCAGGGAAGGAATTCCTAGAGGAGCAAAGTCTGGAGTTAAGACGATCCCATCTCCAGTTCAGGGCATTGTCATCTCTGCCAGACAGTGAGCTCTGTCACGTGCTTAACTGTTCCTACTGCTGCCAGAACAAATCACGACACATTTAGTGGCTTAAAACAACACAAACTCATTACTGGGCAGTTCTGTAGGTCCAAAGTCCAACAGGGGTCTTATAGCACCAAAATCAAGGTGTGGGCCGGGCTGTGCTCCCTCTGGACCTCCAGGGGGAATCTGCTCCCGTGACTTCTCCAGCTTCTGGAGGGCCCCTGCCTCTCTCGGCTCCCGGGCTGTTCCCGCACCCCCAAAGCCAACACCGTTGTAGCTCTGACCTTTCTGTCCTCACATCCTTCTCTCTTACTACAGCTGGGAAGGGTTCTCTTAATTCTAAGAATTTATGTGATTAAAGTGGAGATCTCTCACCTCAAGATCAGGACACATCTTTAATCACGTCCACAAAATCCCTGTTGCTACATAAGGTTCTGGGAACAAGGGCCTGGTCATCTCTGGAGGAGCATTATTCTGTCGACCACCGGCTCTGTGTTGTAGAGGCTTTTTACATATTAATGAATGAATGAATGAGACTACAGTGTAAGTCTAGAAAGAGTGTACAGGAGATGAAGCTGGAGGCTTATGAAGTTTGGATGATTTTCACGTTCCAGTTCGTTGGAGCAGTGTTTCTTGAGGCTTCCTGGATGATGGAATTTCGAATTTGTGTGGCAGGTGCAAGTACTAACCCTTGGGAGCATAGTGGTGAGCAGAGCAAGGGGTGGGATAAGGGAGGCTGAGCTGCAATTAAAAATAGGGTGATCAAGAGATGCCTTTCTAAGAAAATGTCATTTAAGTGATGACCTCAAAGGGGAGAGGAAGAGAACCACTCAGTTGTCTGGGTGGAGAGTGTTCCTTATGGATGGAACAGCACATGCAAAGTCCTGAGGTGGGGATGTGCTTAGCTGGTGGAAGAAACCGCAGTGAGGGCTGAAGTGGGGAGGTTGATGGGGACCAGGGCAGGAGATGAGGGCTGCGGTCCATTGTCAAGACGTTGGCTGTGATGGGGAGCTTGAAGGGAGCTGGAGCATTCGAGGGGAGCTGCGCGTGCAAAGGCCCTGTGATGGGACCTCGGGAGAACAGCAAGGATGCCAGTGTGGCTGTACTGGAGTGCCCCAGGCATGGGGAGAGCAATGGATGGCAAGGCCAGTCTGGGTTTTATTCTCTGTGCGATGAGAAGCCCTTGGCGGAGCGTCATAAGCTAGGAAGGACATGGTCACACCTGCATTTCCCAGGCAGGTGCTCAGGATGCTGCATGGGGAATGGATGTGGGAGCAATAGTGTAGGGAGACCAGAAGGCCTTGGAGAGGGGACAGTGGCTTCCATCAGGGTGGCAGCAGAGACAGATTCTGCATATATCTAGTTCCTATGGGACTTGAGCTGATGTGTTGGGTTGGGGGTGAGGCCGGGAGACAGGGGATGGGGACCTGCCTTTTACTGGATCAGGGAGCAGCGTGGGGTGGGCACACAAGATCCAGAGCAGGAGTGTCAGGAGCTCCATTAGTGATATGTTTGACATACCCAAGTGGAGACATTAGACATGCAATCCTGGAGCTTCAAGCACACCTGGGCTGCAGCTATCAATTGACAGGATTGAATTTGAAGCTGTGGGAATGGATGAGGCTCTGCAGATAGAGAGCTGTGTCTAAAGGGGTTCCCACACCCACCTGGGAAGGTGGGATTTGGGGTAACTGCACGGTATGCAGAGGGGTAACTCTCCCATGCAGAGGGGAGGGGAGTCCAGGATCGCATGCAAGATTAAACTTAGAGGTTGGATGATAATAACAGTTAAATAGCTAATGTTCGTTGACTACTCTCCATGTGCCAGGTATACTGTTTGTGCATCACCTGGCTTCACTCACTTCCTCCCTTGGAGCCTTAGGAGACCAGCACTGTCATCACACCCATTTCACAGATAAGGACCCTGAGGTACAGAGAGATCAGGGCAGCAAAGGGCAGAGCTTGGATCGAAACTCCAGGATTCACCCTCAACGTTCCAGCCACTGAGCCTGGGAAGGAGCATGACAGAATTAGCTCTGAAGAACCCAGCCAGCTTAGAGCAGGGCATGAACTCGTCTGGGGAAGAGGGGAGTGGCCTTTGAATCAGGTCCAGAAGGATGAGTAACCGCTCACCAGGGAAGGAGTGAGGTAAGCCCCTCTCTGTACAGAGGGAATGAGTTCCCGGCTGAGAACCAGGTGGACCTGTCTGGCTCTGAAACCTAAAGCTGCTCCTTGGCTGTGTGACCTTGGGAAAGTTCTTTGCCCTCTCTGGCCTCCACGTGGTCATCCATAGTGAAACTGCAGCTTCCTCACGCACCCTCTCCCCATCGGACTGCCAAAAAGTAAAGCGTCTGATGTGGGGTAAAGGGGGGCGTAGGAGGCAGGAAGTGCGCCTAGGTGGACGCAGTTTGGCAGCATCTAGGGAGACGCGTCCGCCTTCCACACGGCAACTCCACAAACAGGTGTCGAGGAATCCTTGCTCATGAGCCCGAGGACACAGGTACGCGGTGTTCATTGCAGCCTTTTTTGTAACAGCAGCACATCGGCCACAGCCTGACCGGCCCCTCACAGACGTACAGATGAGTCAACGGTTGTATTTTCATACAACAGGATAATACACAAAGGTTAAAAAGAAGGAACTAGAGCGGCACATATTTCATTCAAAAGAAAGCTTATCACGTGCCAGGCCCTGTGACTCTGCAGAGCAGATGCCATCGGATACCCATCTTGCAGGTGAGGAAACAGCCACGGAGAAGGCGAAGTGACTTGCTCACGCGGCCAGGAAGAGGCACAGCCAGAAAGGCAGCTAAGGAGGGGCGTGTACGGCGTCTGTGGGTACGCACATGGCCTTAAACTGCTGTAGAAAGCTGGATTATGGAGAAACAGCAGGGCAGCAGAGCACACGACGTGCGCAGCCGAGGCGTGAGGGCGGGCTTGGGGATGAGGAGCTGGATTTCAGGCGAGTGCTCATCTGATGAAGAAAAGGGATGTGATTGGGGCTCGCAGGAGCTGCACTGCAACGCCGCTGCTTTAAAAAAAGGTACATTTTAATGACAAGATGGAGTCGATCACACACTAATGGGCCGCGAGCATGTGGCCGTATCTCAGCGCATTTCAGGTGCACAGAGCCCTGAGGACTATGCCTGCAGCTGGTAGGAAGGAAGGCAGCTTCCGTCCTCCTAAACCCAGAGCTGGGAAAGAAAGCTTTAGTGAGTCACTGCTAATGAGTTCTTCCTATAAACTTTTTTCCATCTTTTAGTTTTTAATTAATAGCACTGCTAATGGCTTTTAAAATTCCTAATGAGTGCGGCCATCAGGTAGGATTTCCCAGTTATCCTCTTCAGGGTTTTAACTGGTGATGCAGGGGAAAGGCATTTGATCAAGAACAGTTGGTCATCTGGGGGCATGGCTGAGGTGCCCACAGTGCCGGGCATCAGAGAGGAGACTGAGCAAGGGATTTCTGCGGTGGGCCAGCCAGCCACTGACGGTAAGGCCACAGCGACAAGCATACCTGCTGCTTCAGACCCTGACCTTTTTCTTGCCTTTGTGTGCGCGGTGGGGAAATGTCTTTACAGGCTCGCGTGGGTAGAAAAGTAAGGGGAAGGGATTTTGGCGGGATCAGCCTGGGCACAGGCTTAAGGGCAGGTAAGGTAGATGGGATGCCTCAGGGTCGGAAGGAGGCGTGGTAAGAGATGCTGCTAGGTGCGGGGCCGGGGCCACTCAAGAGGGAAGGTGGAGAGCGTGGACTCCCCGGTCCCACAGCCTGTTGAACATGCTAACAACCACTGAATTGTGTGCTTTAGGTGAATTGGAAGGAATGTGAATTGTCTCAACGAAGCTATGGTTACTACAATGGTGTTTTATATCAGCCAGTCTAGAAGGCTGAATTAATCTTCCTGTCGTCCCCACATAAAATGATACATGTATGCACTGATGTGTATATATGTTGCAAATGTGTATGTTACCTAAAATTGTCAGGTAGAGATTATCCCAGTGTATTCAGCCAGAAAATGGGGAAAATATTATATAAATGTTCGAGGTAGTTAATTAATAAAGATATTATAGGTTTGTTTGTTTTCTGGAGAAAAATGATGAGCATGGGCAGGAAACTGAAATAATAACGGTCCTTGTTTGATAAGCTAGTTTAGTTCTAGTTTCTGTTCTTGCCAGCTGAGATCATCCCGACTGAATGCCTGTGAGGTCACGGAGGCGACTGAGGTGCTGGTCCAGGGGGGCCAGAGCTGGGCCCCACAGCAGCGGAGGGTCAGAATCAAGGGAAGAGAGAACTCAGTTCTCCCCATATCTCCCAGGTGATGAGGACGGCCAGGAGCCTCCCTGGACATCAGACACGTCTTCCAGAGGGACCCTGACCCAGAGGACCCCCGCCGCAGGCATACCTGGACCCACTCTTACCACTGGCAGCACCAGGAGCCCAGGCCATCCCTCGCCAGTTCCAAGGGTCCGCGGGGACACAGGTGAGGCATGTGGCTGGGGCAAGGGTGTAGAGACGGACTCCCAATTCCCCAGTGGTAACCCAATTCTGACTACAGAGGGACCCAACAGAAATACATCCTTAAACAAGGGATTATTATCTACATCAGTGGTCCTCAACCGGGGGTGATTGGCAATGTCTGAAGACATTTCACATTGTCACAACTGGGAGCAGGGAGGCTACTGGCACCTATGGGGATGATACACATCCTCCATAGCACAGGACAGCCTTCCCAACAATGAATATTCCAGCCCCAAGTGTGGGCATTTCAACAGTGCCCAGGCTGAGGACCCCTAACCCATACTGAGCAAGTCCCTCTGACAAATCAGTAAGAAAATGTGATGGGAAACCCTACAAGAGAGTGGGTACAAGTTACAAAAAGGCGATTCAGAGAAGGGGGGCCCCATGAGCTGACGCAGATGCCCAGAAATGTTCATACTAATAAGGAATCAGAAAAGTCTAATTAAAATGATGACAAGCATGGAAAAGAATTTGGAAGGTACTTGAAACCAAGCGTGGGTGAGGATGCAGGGAGATGGGCATACTCGCTGGACATTGCTCTGCAAAAAAACCAATCTAGCTGTATTTAGTGAAATTAAGCATGATTATACCTTATGACATAGCAATCCCGCGTCTAGATAGAGATTCCAGAGATGTTCATGCACAGGCTTATATGGGGACACATATGAGGATGGTCTTTGGAACAGTGTGGTATCAGGGTTTGGACACAAGTGTTCAACCAGAGAGTTACAAATAGGAGAAGTACAACGGGTGCACGTAGTGGAATGCTGTGCGATAGCTGAAACGATCATGAGCTGCGTACACAGCAATGTGGAGAGGTATGAATGACATAATTTTGAGGGAAAAAGAAGGAGACTTTCATTAACTTGCAAAAACTAAAATGCAAACACAAAAATACACATACCCTTATATCTTAATGTATATACGTATATTCATTCTGTCTTATATAGGGACACACCTATGTTTCAGGACATATGTCAAATACATTAGTGGAGGTACCTTTAGGAAGGTGAGGGGGATGGAGATCAGCGATAAAGAGAAGAAAAAATAACATGAGTGGACATTGCAGGGACAGCTGAAGAAAATGTGTGGAGAAGTATGATTAGTTTAGCTGCACCTTGGGTCTGAAGAATGACAAATCAATACCACTCTGAAAAGCAGCCTGGCTGGAGGCCAAGCCCTTTGCTTAACTGCTTCTCCAACGCAGCAAGCATGGAGGGGAAAGGGTAGCACCTCAAGTCCCACAGAACAGGTGGAATTCTCTAGAGCAGCTACCAACACAGGTGGCTATTTAAATTTAAACAAATCAAAAATGAAACATTCAGTTCCTTCCTCATTTTAAGGGCTCAGTAGCCACGTGACCAATGGCCACCATACTGGACAGCACAGAACATTCCGGTCACTGAGAAAAAGTGATATTTAATGGCCTGGACTCTGAATGCAGAGGATGTGGGTTCAGATCTTATCCCTGCCACTTGCGAACTGTTGTGCGAGCTCAGGCAAGAGGCCTATTCTCTTGGCATGATTTCCCTCATCTGTAAAAAGGGATGAAATCAACACTTACCTGGAGGCAGGGCCAGGAAAAGGGCGGGGCTTCTCTCTATTCGGGCCCCAAATTGAAGAGGGCGCCAAAACAGCCAGTAATGAAGGTTAACATTTTGATACAATAGTTTTAAAAATAAAAATGTGAAAAAAACCCCACAATGGACTGAATATCAAGATTTTAACCAAAGGCAGGACGCCACCGGACCCAATTCTGACCCTGTCCGACCCTGTCTTGGGTTAAAATTTTGACCTTTTGTGACTCGATTTTTTGCATTAATTTTGCTAAAAAATGTGGCATAGAAATACTTAGCGTGATTATCCCTCCGAAGCTTCCTGCACCCCCTTGCGCTCCTGCACCTCTGGCTTCTCCCACCCCCTCCATCGCAATGACACCCCAAGTTCCCCTCCTGCATCCCCGGCCCGCCCTGAGCGGAGGACGCCAGGTGGCGCCTGGAGACACCCGAGGAGGCGGGGCACCTGGGCGGGGCGAAGTCTGCCGGCGACACGTGATGTCACGAGGCTCTGCGCCCTCCCATTGGTCGGGGCGCTCCGCGGGCGGGCGGGGCGATGACCTCCCGCGGTCTCTCCTCAGGTTCCGCCCGGAGGCAGTGGCCGGAGCGCAGGCCGCGGCCCACAGCTGTCATGACGGCACCCCACTCCCGGGCCCCAGCGCCCTCCGCCTCGCCGGCGCGTCCGGAACCTCCGCTGACCTCCGACTCCGCGCCGCGGCTGGTGCCCGACGCAGCTTCGACGCGGGAGGTGACCTCCGGCCCTCCTGACACTCTGCCGCCCAGCCCGGCCCAGGCCTTCTGGGTGAACTCTGACCTCACCTCCGCGACCCCCGGCCCCACGCTGACCACCTCTGACGCAGCCCCGGTTCCCGCGCTGACCTCTGGGCTCTCGCCCACCCCGCCCCCGACCGTGCCCAAAGAACTGACCTCTGAACCTTCTGCACC